TTCCCCCCCAAGATCCTGCACATTAAAGATTTACTTACGCAAAACTGAAAAATGTATTTAATGCCAATCAACACAGTTTAATAGGACCAGCTGCTGTACACCTCTAACAGAGATCCCCCCCAATGGGATTTCTAAGAACTGGCTATGCTCTTTTCAAATTTCTAAGAGCATCTGAATCAAAAAGGCCACAGAACTTTTCCCAGCTTCCTACAGGCATTAGTATGGCCCACAAAAGAAGACTTTACAGCTCAAAAACACAAGACAAGGCCAGTGCTGACCCTCCAAATTTCCATTGCTCTTTCTTAAGAGCTCTACATTGTGCAGGCAATTCTGGGGTTTCAGATCATCCCTTCAGCTATGCTTCTCATGTCAGAAGTGGTTTTGTTTGATTGTTTTTTTTTAAGAAACACATGTAAGAAAACCAATTAGACAAGCACGCATCTCTTTGCCTAAGTTTCTTCACAACGTTTTAGCCAAAATCCATTTGGGCTTCTCCGAGATATTAGGCACCTCTTTCTGAAAGAAGTCTGCACTTGCTCTTATACACAGACTTTGTATATAAGAGATGGCCTCCTATGTGTAGCTTCCAGTTTTATCGCTACATCAATCTTGCTGATAATTCAATCCCTTCAACAAGGACAGACACTTAAAACTAGGATTTGCCCACTTTCTGTAAAATTCTCACTATAGCAGATTAGACTATTCATCCAACCCCAATAACCAATTATTCCCCACTCCCAGTGGGGATGTGAGAGAAGTTAGCCTTTTGAAATGAAAGAGCAGGTAGACAATTCTAGGGGTACTATTCAGTAATCAGAATCACAGAACGATGCAGATCTCCGAAATCCCAATACAGATCCCGTCAAACCCATCTCATTTGATTAGATTCATCTGCTTTCGTTGATAAAAGCAATAGTGTGGATTAAAGATTTCTGGAAGAGTGTTTGACCTGGTACCACATGACATTCTTACACAATTAGTACTATGGAGAGTCAGGACAGCACTAAGTAAATGAAAACTGAAAAATACTTTCAGGTGCGTCAGTCAAAGAAACCATTACAGAATAGATGCACTCTACTGTGGGTTTAGCAGTAGTGCTTATTAAGGTCACCATTACCATCAGTGGGGTGGAAAGACAGTCACTGTTGATAGGATTTGCATATAAAACACTTGCAGACAAGTACATAGAGAGGACAAGGCTGTCATAGTGATCTGAACTGCTTCAGAAGATAAGCCCATTCAAACAATGTTGGTCAATGT